ATGATGCTGATGCGCTGATGCTCATGCGCTGATGCTGATGCGCTGATGCTGATGCGCTGATGCTGATGCGCTGATGCTGATGCTGATGCGCTGATGCTGATGCGATGATGCTGATGCGCTGATGCTCATGCGCTGATGCTGATGCGCTGATGCTGATGCGCTGATGCTGATGCGCTGATGCTGATGCGATGATGCTGATGCGCTGATGCTGATGCGCTGATGCTGATGCTGATGCGCTGATGCTGATGCGATGATGCTGATGCGCTGATGCTCATGCGCTGATGCTGATTCGCTGATGCTCATGCGCTGATGCTCATGCGCTGATGCTGATGCGCTGATGCTGATGCGCTGATGCTGGTCAGCATCAGCGCATCAGCAAGAGGGAGGGTTATTAACAGCAGGAAGGGAGTGGCGGAGTCAAAATCAAGAAACAAGACGACTGTTGCCTCTGCGCGGCGACGCTCTACGACTTACTACACTCCCCCCTGCAAGCACCCCCTGGCGCGTACCACACTCTGTCCGCTGCTCTGCCACTCCTGCACCACGCCTTCCCTTCACGCCTGCTGCTCCAAGTTGCTCCAGGTCGCTCCGTTGCTCCGGCTGCCCATGCTCGCAGGCCGTGAGGCACACACACACACGCATGGGCAGAGAGACACGCACACACAGAAGAGGCACCAACAAGAGGGAGGGTTATTAACAGCAGGAAGGGAGTGGCGGAGTCAAAAGCAAGAGACAAGACGACTGTTGCCTCTGCGCGGCGACGCTCTACGACTCACTACACTCACCCCTGCAAGCACCCCCTGGCACGTACCACACTCTGTCCGCTGCTCTGCCACTCCTGCACCGCACATTCCCTTCACGCCTGCTGCTCCAAGTTTCTCCAGGTTGCTCCGTTGCTCCGGCTGCCCATGCTCGCAGGCCGTGAGGCACACACACACGCATGGGGAGAGAGACACGCACACAGAAGCAACACCAACAAGAGGGAGGGTTATTAACAGCAGGAGTTGAGTGGCGAATTCAAAAGCAAGAGACAAGACGACTGTTGCCTCTGCGCGGCGACGCTCTACGACTCACTACACTCCCCCCTGCAAGCACCCCCTGGCGCGTACCACACTCTGTCCGCTGCTCTGCCACTCCTGCACCACGCCTTCCCTTCACGCCTGCTGCTCCAAGTTGCTCCAGGTTGCTCCGTTGCTCCGGCTGCCCATGCTCGCAAGCTGTGAGGCACACACACACACGCATGGGGAGAGAGGCACGCACACAGAAGCAACACCAACAAGAGGGAGGGTTATTAACAGCAGGAGGGGAGTGGCGGATTCAAAAGCAAGAGCCAAGACGACTGTTGCCTCTGCGCGGCGACGCTCTACGACTCACTACACTCCCCCCTGCAATCACCCCCTGGCGCGTACCACACTCTGTCCGCTGCTCTGCCACTCCTGCACCACGCCTTCCCTTCACGCCTGCTGCTCCAAGTTGCTCCAGGTTGCTCCGTTGCTCCGGCTGCCCATGCTTGCAGGCCGTGAGGCACACACATACACGCATGGGCAGAGAGACACGCGCACAGAAGCAACACCAACAAGAGGGAGGGTTATTAACAGCAGGAGGGGAGTGGCGGATTCAAAAGCAAGAGACAAGGCGACTGTTGCCTCTGCGCGGCGACGCTCTACGACTCACTACACTCCCCCCTGCAAGCACCCCCTGGCGCGTACCACACTCTGTCCGCTGCTCTGCCACTCCTGCACCACGCCTTCCCTTCACGCCTGCTGCTCCAAGTTGCTCCAGGTTGCTCCGTTGCTCCGTTGCTCCTGCTGCCCATGCTCGCAGGCCGTGAGGCACACAGACACACGCATGGGGAGAGAGACACGCACACAGAAGCGGCACCAGCAAGAGGGAGAATTAGAAACAGCAGGAGGGGTGTGGCGGAGGCAATAGCAAGAGACACGACTGTTGCCTCTGCGCGGCGACGCTCTACGACTCACTACACTCCCCCCTGCAAGCACCCCCTGGCGCGTACCACACTATGTCCGCTGCTCTGCCACTCCTGCACCACGCCTTCCCTTCACGCCTGCTGCTCCAAGTTGCTCCTGGTTGCTCCGTTGCTCCGGCTGCCCATGCTCGCAGGCCGTGAGGCACACACACACACGCATGGGCAGAGAGACACGCACACACAGAAGAGGCACCAACAAGGGAAGGTTAGAAACACCAGGAGGGGAGTGGCGGAGGTAAAAGCAAGAGACACGACTGTTGCCTCTGCGCGGCGACGCTCTACGACTCACTACACTCCCCCCTGCAAGCACCCTCTGGCGCGTACCACACTCTGTCCGCTGCTCTGCCACTCCTGCACCACGCCTTCCCTTCACGCCTGCTGCTCCATGTTGCTCCAGGTTGCTCCGTTGCTCCCGCTGCCCATGCTCGCAGGCCGTGAGGCACACACACACACGCATGGGGAGTGAGAGACATGCACAGAAGCGGAACAAACAAGGGAGGGTTAGAAACAGCAGGAGGGGAGTGGCTGATGCAAAAGCAAGAGACACGACTCTTGCCTCTGCGCGGCGACGCTCTACGACTCACTACATTTCCCCCCCGTAGCCGTCTCGTCCTTACGTACCGTTGATCCTTCCCTGATCTTCAAGCAAATTCCTGTGAGCTTTGAACGGACGCTTGCAATTTTCAGAATGTCTGCAGCAGCCTCGTTTGTACGCTGCAGCGATGGCACAGGGAGAGGGGGCAGAACAGGTAAGAACAGGGAGAGAGGGAGAACACAGACGTTAGTGGATGGGTAATTTCACATACGAAGGGAAGAAGGAAAGCGACGAGACTCTCTAGGCGTTCCTATCCTATACGACGAGACGCTTAGGAATCCCCCCCAACAGCCTTCGCGTTTACGTACCGTTAATCTTCCCCTGATGGCCAACGATCTCCAAGCGAACGCCTGCAATCTTCAGAGGAACGCCTGGGAACTTCAACACGACGCCTGGCGATTCTTAAAGTGTTTCGCGCAACCCTTAGCCGGAGGCTACAGCGATGTCGACGCACCTCCGCGCCTCCGAGTTATCGCACACATGCAGTTGGAAGAACGAAGAGGACCCCCTGTCGGACAGGGGGAGAGGGAGGGGTACACGCGTTAGTTGAAAGGTTGATTTCAAACATGACGCGAACGGGTAAAGCGGCGAGACTCTCTTGGCGTTCCTATCCTAGACGCCTACATGATTCCCCCCACCACCCTTCGTTATTACGTACCACGATTAATCTTTCATTGATCGCGTGCGAAATCCTAGGGAACGCCGAGAAACTCGATGCGAACGAATGCGATTCTCATGGCGAACGGCCGAGAACAATCTTCCGTGAACTGCGTCACGCTGCTTCGAAACGTGTCTTGCGACGTCTTGAACTTGACGCATCGAAACGTCCACCTCCTGACGGCCGGAAATCGGAATGACAAGCGCTGCTTGCGATGCCGGTCGGCGGACACTACTGCTGCCGTTTGCGAACAGCTGCGCACGTTGCTTCCCGCTATTCGTATTCCAAAAAAGGCTGCGTTGTTTCCGGCCAGCAATCTCGACAGCCGATCGTCAGTTCCATCCGGTTGGAGGCTGTCGTCGATGCTGCTCCTACCGCTGCCGGTCTCACGGGGGTTGAGAAACATTTGCTTCACACGGAGCTGATACTCCGTCACTCGGACTGGAGGATGCACAACTTGGCTCTATTCCAAGACTCGCTGAAACATCCGCTTCCCGTCGCACGAGTCTTTCATGATTCGAAAGACCATCTCCGGTACACGTCAGCTGTTGCGTCATGTCGTCTTGTCGCCGCGTCACTCCACTCTAGAGTTTAGCAAGTAGCTGGAGGGCAAGCAAAGGTAGCCTGGAACCCGAAAAGGTACACTACACGGCTACCTCTAGAGCTGCGGTTTGGTGCTGTGGGACGCCGCGATGGTGCTGCGGTTTGTTCGCGATTAGCATTGCTGGATGTCGCAACCGTCGTACATGAGCGTGCGATGGTGCATCAGGGAGAAATCATTCTGAGTGAACTGTATCAACGCTGAGCCTAGCCGAATCTACATTAGCGCGAGCAGCAGTTGGTCGTATCTTCTGTAAATCACCCCTCGCTAAATGAAAATGAAGTCGTCGACAATAAGAACTTTGTTCTATGGAGCTTAATTTATAACATTGTCGCAACGCAACACCAGAAGGCAGCTGATTAATGCGAAAGCTGAGCCGTGCATTAGTAACAGATAGAACCAGTATAGGAACCACAGGCTATAGACAAATTGAAATACCCTGCTACTATTCAATAGCAACTCATCGGTCTAATCAGCTCGAACTGTAGCCGTACTGTTGCAGATGCTAAGAGACCTAAGTCGGGAACATGGAGGACTAATCTTCCGAGGAGAGCTAGTACCAGGTCCAGTGACTTGCATTCTGACTAGTGACCAGGTGACCAGAGAAGAGAAGAAAGCCTTCGGATGGGAATGCCTTGGGAGTTCCGCCGCTGAGGAAAGCAAAGCTGCCACTGTGTGACGGCAAGGAAATGGCATACCTCATGGTGGGGTAAGAGTTTTCGGCTCGGCTCGGCTGGCTCGCGCTTCGTTGGTGTGGAGGTTTTCTGACATGCTCGTAGGCTGATTGGACAGAAGTTGCGCGCCAAAAGCCTCCCAGTTTGAAAGCTTTCGACGGACTCTCGCTGTAACATGGCTCGGTACGGTATCAGACGCGATACCTGTGTGGGACTGTCTCGCTTTGTGAAAGACATCAAAAGAAGCACCATCATTGGACACGTATCATTGGGAAATGGGATGTTGAAAAAAAAAAAGGAAACTACTCTGATAATCATTTATGGGCCATCATTTAGACGTACCGATACATTTGCAAGCAAGCGTAATAGAATCTGAAATTCTCGAAACATCAGGAGGTCCATGAAACATTTATGGCATACAGTGGTGGCAATGTGGTGGCCGCATGCTGGTAAAGATTTGCCAAACGATAAAAATTATCCAGCTATCACTTGGCTTTCCGCCGGAGCTCATACAGGTATCCCAGAACAAGAACTCCAGCAGTGACAACAGCACCAAAAGCACTTTGGGCCAAGATGGTGGATGCACTAACAGTCTCCTTGGCTGCAGCATCAGTTTCCCAAAATGCTGGAGAGGTATCCTTGCACCCAAGCTCAGACATTTTCTTGTGCGCAGATGCGTAGTCTCTGAAAAACGCCTCCTCGTCCTGCATTTTGCAACGAAAGGCAAAATGGACCCAATCATACTGCCCTCCAACCCAACTCAAGGAACAATCACAGCAGCCCTTTATTGCTTACCTTAGCATACAACTCAACAAATGGACGGAACTTGGGGTCCTGTACGAGGCACTTGTCCGTGGGAAGCTGGAGCAGTCCTGTAGCGTCTCCTTTCAAGAGCTCACTGTTGCACGGGCACAGGGAAAATTATGCCAGCTCAGACTGCCTGAGTGGAACACGCTTCTCCGACACAACAAAAATATGCTCAATCCCTCTCTAAGTTGTTTGAACTCACATATAGTAGGTGTTGTCAAATTTCAGTGGTTGCTGCGTCCATGCCCCCTCAAAACCCGAACGATCCTTATGTGCACGCCCCTGCATGCACAATCGAAGTTCAATCACACAATGCCTCATGTGCTTGCAAGAATGTGAGTTAAGCGGTGGCTTACCAGAGTGTGTGATCCACTCAATGCAACAATGTCTTGATCGCTGAACCCCATGCGGCAAAATATATCTCGTAGGTGAGCAGATCCTGAAACAAAAGGGATGCATTGGAAAAGATGACTCACATGCTCACACGAACAGTCACGAAGTGCAGTTCATGAATACGAGGTGCGGAAAATTCGCCTGAATTCACACACCTTTATGAGCATCTGGCAGCCTGCCGTCAGGAGTGACAGCCAGGGAGTCCTGCCCAACCAGCGCCCGGACAGCCATGGAATGAGTTATGAGCACAAGAAAGCTCACATAAAGACAACATGGAGGCCTGTGCGTGAGCTCACCTTTCGGCCGGGCTTAAAAGCAATGGTTGGACCTCCGGTTACTTCAACAGCTATCACGCCAGCTAGCTGCTCAATCAAGACAGAAAGTTAAAACGCCAGGAGAAGTTTGATAACAGGCTAAATGAGCACTATACACAAGGTGCGAACCGAGATTGCACCTGGTAGATGTCAGCGTATGATACTCGTGGATGTTTCGCCTTGACCGGCTCTGCAGACAGGAAACACTGCAATGAGTGCTAATCCGTCACCAGCCCCTGCGAATTGCGAAAGTGGCATTGTAAGCTCACCAAGCAGGTCAATGCCAATCTTCATCCCCGCGTTTCCGCCATGAGTGTATTCGAGCTCGCTTCTGATCGAAGCATTCGGTCCGCCGCTTCTCGTCTTCGCATCATAAGTACCAGCATCATGGAACCTAAAATCAAATCACATGTGCAGGAACACAACACAATCGCATTGCTGTCTCGCGTAATAATTGATAGACCGTTCGAAACAAATGCGACGAGGTCCAGTGTCTTACGCCAAGCGGAGCATAAGCGGAGCGCAGCTCTTCTCCGCGATTAACGATCGCAAGTCTCGCCTGACCGCCTCGACCTCCTTCAAGTAATCCGCGTCAACCGTAGGGGCCTGCATGATTCCTTCTTCGCAGAAATCGGCTTACTAGCAATCAAACCTGACCCTAACGAAGAAACGGTAAGCTCCGACGGAATACGGGGCGCGAAACAGTCAGACGACACGGCGGCTTTGTAGAGCAGAGGCAAGCAACATGAAGAAAATCACTGGCAGAAATGCAGGTTGAAGAAATTTGTTGCTCTCCCTGATGCTACACTAGGAAACTGGGAACAATTTAGAGACGCTGATTGGCTGAGAAAAGAGAAGGTTGAAGAAGAAACAGGGGGGAACAATGAGGCCCAGCAGGGGGGCAGTGCGTGGACCCAAGCAGACGAAACCTTGAAGTTGGCCAGCTCATGAACGAGGGGCTGCTGGCGTGGCACGGGCCAGCGTAAGTGGTCCCTTGATTCCCCTCAAAATTGTCTAGCTGTACGCGTTCGAAACAAATCCAGCTGGTGAAGTTAGCTAGCTACGAACACATACAGCGAGTCAGGAGCATTCTATGCAATCCCAATGGGTGACCAGCAAAAATGGTTATCGTCATCTAGTGAATCCAATGCATCCATCTTTTCCTTGTCCAATGAGAAATTGAATATGTCAGCGTTCTCTGCGATCCGGTTTGCGCTCACAGACTTGGTTATTGTAACTGGCCACGAATGGGGGACGACAAGGGGAGGTGTTGGACAGTCAATGTGGGGCAGAAATAACTGTCAGATAATGGATGGAAGCAGAAGCATCAAGCAGTTTGAAACGCATCGACAACACAAAACATACCCATTCCATGCTGCAGGCTCCACCTGAGCAGCACTTGAGCAGCTGACCGATCAACTTCCTTGGCCACTTTTTGCACAGTTGATTGCTGTAACAGCTGGGAACATACACGAATAAAATATAGCAAACAGATAGTTCACTGGAGTGTGTGCCAGATATGCTTGACGTGATTCTAAGCACCTCGAGTGAGTAAGGCAATCAGCAGCAACTTACATACACACATTTTCTTGAGCAGCTGACTGCGATAGGTAATCAATCTGCTCTTGCATGGCTTACCTACATCGCTCCCAGACTGCACATTTCGACACACATGCCACCACTTGTCACCACACCACAGAGGTGCAGACGCTGCCACACAGCTACTGCGCTCCGCACAACTGCCACACAGCTCAAACGCCAACCACCTGGTAGCAACAGAGACCCACCTGGTAGCAACAGAGACCCACCTGGTACCAACACAGACTCACCTGGCCACACCCCAGGGGGGAATAAGCTGCCACACAGATGCCACGCTCAGCACAGTAGGCCCGCAGAGGCTGCTGAGTCAGTAGCGGGTGCACCTCCACCTGGTTGACAGCTGGCGGGGCGGCAGAGTTTGTCATTAAGTGGTCGAGATGGGCGGCAGTGAAGTTGCTGACTCCAATGGCGCGGCATTTACCTGGAAGAAGAGGGAAGGCACGAGTTATGTAAATTCTGGAAAAGGCCATAGCGTGCTAAGAGAAACAATAGTTATGATAACCACCCCAGCCCCTCTACCCCTCTCCACTTCCTTCTACCCCCGTTCCCACTACTCCCCTCCACTCTCATTTGCTCCTCCCTCACCCCCCACCTTCCCTCTGAAGCTGCTCCAGAGCGCGCCAAGACTCCAGCCGAATCTCTGCATTCTTCTCAGATGCTCTGGGGAGACAGGAGGAGGGGGCGAGGAAGGTCAATGGGGGTAACAGAGTCCTGAGACACCTCATCACAGGAAGGTTCGAGGGTACAAGTGGAACGAAGAGCAGGAACGACAGAGGAGGGCACGAGGAGCAAGAAGGGGTGAATTACTCACCTATCTAGCTTTGCCACTCCGGGCCTGGGAATGAGGAGAGGGGAGAGGGGAGAGAACAGGAGCGGAGAGGGAAGAGTGAGGAGAGAGGAGAGAGTGGGGATCAGGGAGGAGCGAGGAGGGAGAGAAGAATGGCAGTGAACACAGGGGTGCACAGGCAGATGGAAGTGATTTGAGTTGGAGAGGTAAGTGGTCAACGGGCAAAGTAAAACGAGGGTAACAAAAGACGAGGAATGAGGGCGAGGATTCAGGGCGAGGGCACGCACCAGTGCAGCAGGTAGAGGTCCTGAGAACGGACAAGGGGCGGGATGGTTGTCAATGCACATGGAGGGAGGGTGAGTGAGGGAGGGAGGAGAGTCAAGGGAGCAGGAGTGGGAGGGGTTCATTGTCCCTGTATGGGGAGAGTGCGAGCGGTGGAGTGGAGCAAGGGAAAGGAGGTGGGCACCGTAAGCATCTCACACACGCACGCACTTCCATAATCACACTTGACCTCTCACACACACTCTCTCACTCACTCACACACTCTTGCACTATCAGACTCTCTTCCATAGTCTGTTTGCAGGCGCTCCACGGACGCCGCACATGCACACACTCACTCGCACACTCTCTCAAACTCATGCACATCACCGTGTACACACTCTCCCTATCTCGTTCACTCACTCCGTGTCACTCTCTCGCACCCACCAGGTAGTCTGTTTGCAGGCGCTCCAAGGACGCTGCACACGCTGCTAGAGCCTGCTGGAACCTGGCGTGCGGGAGGGCGAGGGAGAGTGAGTGAGCGAGTGAGTGAGTGATTGAGTGAGAAGAGACTGTATCGGAGGCACCTCACAAACATGCACCAAGATATTCAGTCCATGCCGTGGGGACGAGTGTGATTGAGTGCACACATGCACGCACTGATGTGCACACTCGAACACACACACACACCCATGCTCACCCATGCTCGTAGGGCGAGGCCTTGGACGTGATAAACACCTCCTCCCTTGCAATGCCGTACTCCCTAATAGCCTCCCCGATTTCCGCTTCATTCTTGTACACTGATGCGGTGTCTGCATTGAGAAAATCACAGCCCTTAGATGAAAGGAATGGTGATACGACCGCAATTTATTGCCCACCCATGTGCCCACCCATGTGCCTCCCATCCCATGTGCTCACCTATATGCCTGTATCCAGCTGCCAGTGCTGCTTTAACCGCCTCCTTCACCTCCCCCCCTTTGGCCTTGAATGTGCCCACTGCACGCACACAAGCATGCAAGCATGCACATACACACACAGACAGGCATGCACAGGTGCACACACAGGGAGAGAATTGGGACAGAGGGTCTACACATGTAACGAGAGAGGGCGAGGAGAGGCACGGAGGGAGGCGGGGAGGGGGATGGCGCGACAAGGAGGGAAGACTGGAAGTGTGGGAGGGAGAGGGAGAGAGTGGTGGAGAGGAGGGGTTAGAGCTAAGGCAAGGAGGAAATGAGAAGAGGGGAAGGGGGAAGCATGGGCATGGACAAGAATGGAAAGGGGGGGATAACTGGAAGGGCGAGGAGAGGGGCAGGCGCGGGGAATATGGAGGAAGGGAAAGGAGGAGTAAGGGGGGTATGGAACAGGGGGGGAGGGCGGAAGGGGGAGAATGGAAGAGGGGTACGGCGCCAACGGAGGGGACTGGATAGAGGACGGAAAGGGCGGGAAGGGCGGGAAGGGCGGGAAGGGCGGGAAGGGCGGAAGGGCGGAAGGGCGGGAAAGGCGGGAAGGGCGGAAGGGCGGGAAGGCGGGAAGGGCGGAAGGGCGGGAAGGGCGGAAGCGGCGGGAAGGGCGAAAGGGGCGGGAAGGGCGCACAGGCGAGGCGGGGAATGGAGGTGCCACTGGCGAGACGGATGGGCGATGTCAAATCCATGGCTGCGCGCTGATGGCTTGGCCTCGAGGCGCCGCGCCCGGAGGTGCGCGCGCGAGCAGTTGAAGCGAGCAGGCGAGGGCGACTGTCCGGAACGCTGTTCCGCGCGCCTCAAGCGCGGGCGGAAGCGCGGGCGGAAGCGCGGGCGGAAGAGCGTGAGGACAATGGGAGTCTGTGTCCGGGGCGCCGTACGTAAGGGGGGGTTTCCAGCAGGAGGCTGAGACTAGACGAGATCGGGAGCGGAACGATAAGAGAGTCGTGCGAAAGAATGCGATGCAACAAAAGCCCAAATGTGGAGAAAAAGAGGGGCAGAAAACGGGAGGGGTGCTCCGAGAATCGAACTCGGGACCTCTCGCACCCGAAGCGAGAATCATACCACTAGACCAAGCACCCAGATGACAGCAGGATTCAAGAACTTTTCTTGGTCTAAAAATCTTCCACACAGCATTTGTCGGAAATGCGGAAGCCATGAAGCGCCAACAGGCCACCATCTCTCGGTTCTTCGCGCGCAAGCCGACCCCAGCGCAACCACCCCCGCTTCCCACCTCTCCCGCGCCATCCCCTTCCCCCTCACAGCCGCCAGGCGCCGTCCGCGTCACCACTCCGCCATCCCTCCTCCGCCCGCCGCGCTCCTCCTCCGCCGCCGCCACCAGCGCCGACGGTCGCGGTGATCGTCGCGGTGGTGATGGTGGCGGCGGTGGCGGCGGTGGTAGCGGGGGCTTGAAAGAGATCGGATCGGCGGAAGCAGAAATTGAGAATGGGGGAACCGCGGGGGCAGCTGGGGAAGGTCGGGGTTGGCGGAGAACAGGAAGCGGGGGAGAGCGGGGGAGTGGGGGCGGAAAGGATTGGGGGGCGGAGGGGAAGGCGGAGGGGAAAGGGGATGAGGTAGGAGCGGAGGGGGAAGGCGGAGGAGTGGTGTTCAAGCGGACGCGGGCGCGGGGAAGGAGGGCATCGCGGAGATTAATGACGGATGGGGGGAACGATGGGGGGTCGGATGGGGATGATAGGGGAAAGGAAGAAGAAGGAATTGAGGAGCGAATGGGGATGGAGTGGGGGGAAGGTGAGCGACGGAGTAAGAGGGCAAAGGGGGGAAGCACAGGGGCGGAGGAGGTGGGAGCAGGGGCAGGGAGAGGGGCATGGGAGGATGAAATTGAAGAAAAGAGAACGGAACTTGCGGAAGGAGAAAGGGGCCAGGCCCTCATAGCACCTTCTGCTCCTGCTGCTCCTGCTGCTCCTTCTGCTCCCACAACCACCACTGCCACCCCACTCTCAGCCATTCGAGCCAGCTTCCTTAAGAGACTTGACTCCCACCCTTCCGAAAGAATTGTTTCTCATACTTCCGCTCCTCCCTCCGCACCCACTACCACCACCAAAGAGGGCAGCGATTTCATCCCCGGTATAAGCCTGCCCCTGCCAGGAACAAAGCTCACCCCGTTAGAGGAGCAGGTCGTGGCTCTCAAACGCCGCCACCCGGACGTGCTCCTATTGGTCGAGGTCGGCTACAAGTTCCGATTTTTCGCGGCCGATGCTGACGTGGCGGCGCGGGTTCTCGGCATCTACTGCCACGTGGACAGGGCGTTTCTGACGGCGTCGATCTCCACGTTCCGCCTGCACGTGCACGTGAGGCGGCTCGTGGAGGCGGGCTTTAAGGTGGGCGTGGTGCGGCAGAGCGAGACGGCGGCGATTAAAGCCCACGGGAGCAACAAGGCCGGCCCGTTCGGGCGGCATTTGTCGGCATTATACACGCGGGCAACGTTGGAAGCGGGGGAGGATCTGGGAGGGGAAGGAGGGGAGGGAGGGGAAGGGGGAGTGGGTGAAGGGGCCGGGAATGCGGGAGGGGGAGGGGGGATGGGGGGAAGGCTGAGTAGTTACCTCGTTTGTATTGCAGAGGAGAGCATTGGAGAGGGAAGGAAGGGGAAGAGGGAAGGAAGGAAGGGAGGTGGTGCTGGTGGTAGCACTGCTGCTGCTGCTTCCTCTCCTGGCCCGTCCCCACCAGCCACGGATTTGGACTCGTCTCAAGGCTGGGAAAGAGGCTCGGAAGCAGGCATGGGAGCAGGCTCTGTAGCAGGTTCGGAGGGCGATGTGCGGATAGGGCTGGTGGCAGTGGAGACGTCAACAGGTGACGTGGCACAGGGGTGCTTTGCTGATGGTGTGCTGCGGGGGGAGCTGGAGACCCACCTCGCCCACTTCGCCCCCACTGAGATCGTGCTCACTGGAACCATCTCGCCAGCCACTCACAAGGTGAGGCTTGAGTACCCTGAGTAACCTAAGTAACTTGAAATGTGCCCTCTGCTTCCACCCGCACTGCTCTCAATGCCCGATCTGTCCTCAATGGCCCCACTGCCCTCACTGCCTCGGGAGTGTACCCTCTTTCCTCCCTTTGGCTCCACTCTCCCTCCTTGCCCCTACTCCCCTCAACCCCATCCCCTCCCCCTTGTCCTCCCACCCTTCCCAATCAGCTCCTGTCATACCTGTCTTGTCGAGACCCTGCCCCGAGAATCACCACCGCAGGGGTCGATGGGATCTCAGGTGCTGCTGTGAGTGGGGGAGGGCCTGGGAATGCTGGGGTTGGTGGCGGCAGCAACAGCAAAGGCAGCGGCAGCAGCACGTGTGGGGTGCGTGCAGCTCTTGCAGAGTTCTTTGCTACGTTGCCAAGCGGGGCTGCTTGTACAGAGGACGCAGGCAAGGGGCATGAGAATAAAGATGAAGAGAGGACGGAGGAGGGGGAGGAGCAGCAGCAGGAGCCTGAGCGTCGTCAACAGGAGGAGCAGCAGCAGGAGCCTGAGCGTCGTCAACAGGATGAGCAGCAGGGGGAGGTGGATCCAGCAGTGGAGGCGGTGCTCTCCATGCCACCGGTGCTGCTCAGAGCGCTCGCTGCTGCTGTGGACTATCTGAGGGAGTTCAACCTGCACCACGTGCTCGCACTGGGCGGCGGCTTTCGTCCTCTCTGCACCGGCCACCAGATGACTCTCTCCTCTAATGCTCTCGAGCAGCTCGAGGTGAGCCTTAAAGCCCCCTTTTAGATATTCTCAGAAACACTCACCCACTTGGACCAAGGCGCGCGCGTGGACCAAGGCGCGCGCGTGGACCAAGGCGCGCACGTGGACCAAGGCGCGCGCGTGGACCAAGGCGCGCGCATGGACCAAGGCGCGCGTGTGGACCAAGGCGCGCGTGTGGACCAAGGCGCGCGCGTGGACCAAGGCGCGCCCGTGGACCAATGCGCGCCCGTGGACCAAGGCGCGCCCGTGGACCAAGGCGCGCCCGTGGACCAAGGCACGCGCGTGGACCAAGGCGCGCCCGTGGACCAACCAAGGTGCGCCCGTGGACCAGGGCGCGCGCGTGGACCAGGGCGCGCGCGTGGACCAGGGCGCGCGCGTGGACCAGGGCGCGCCCGTGGACCAAGGCGCGCCCGTGGACCAAGGCGCGCGCGTGGACCAAGGCGCGCGCGTGGACCAACCAAGGCGCGCGCGTGGACCAGGGCGCGCGTGTGGACCAGGGCGCGCGCGTGGACCAGGGCGCGCGCGTGGACCAGGGCGCGCGCGTGGACCAGGGCGCGCGCGTGGACCAGGGCGCGCGCGCGGACCAAGGCGCGCGCGCGGACCAAGGCGCGCGCGCGGACCAAGGCGCGCGCGCCTGGACCAAGGCGCGCGCGCCTGGACCAAGGCGCGCGCCCGGACCAAGGCGCGCGCCCGGACCAACGCGCGCGCCCGGACCAACGCGCGCGCCCGGACCAACGCGCGCGCCCGGACCAACGCGCGCGCCCGGACCAACGCGCGCGCCCGGACCAACGCGCGCGCCCGGACCAACGCGCGCGCCCGGACCAACGCGCGCGCCCGGACCAACGCGCGCGCCCGGACCAACGCGCGCGCCCGGACCAACGCGCGCGCCCGGACCAACGCGCGCCCCTGGACCATCCCGCGCCCCTGGACCAAAGCGCGCCCCTGGACCAACGCGCGCGCCTGGACCAACGCGCGCGCCTGGACCAACGCGCGCGCCTGGACCAACGCGCGCGCCTGGACCAACGCGCGCGCCTGGACCAACGCGCGCCCCCGGACCATCGCGCGCCCCTGGACCAACGCGCGCCCCTGGACCAACGCGCGCCCCTGGACCAACGCGCGCCCCTGGACCAACGCGCGCGCCTGGACCAACGCGCGCCCCTGGACCAACGCGCGCCCCTGGACCAACGCGCGCGCCTGGACCAACGCGCGCCCCTGGACCAACGCGCGCCCCTGGACCAACGCGCGCCCCTGGACCAACGCGCGCCCCTGGACCAACGCGCGCCCCTGGACCAAAGCGCGCCTCTGGACCAACGCGCGCGCCTGGACCAACGCGCGCGCCTGGACCAACGCGCGCGCCTGGACCAACGCGCGCGCCTGGACCAACGCGCGCGCCTGGACCAACGCGCGCGCCTGGACCAACGCGCGCGCCTGGACCAACGCGCGCGCCTGGACCAACGCGCGCGCCTGGACCAACGCGCGCGCCTGGACCAACGCGCGCCCCTGGATCAACGCGCGCCCCTGGACCAACGCGCGCCCCTGGACCAACGCGCGCCCCTGGACCAACGCGCGCCCCTGGACCAACGCGCGCCCCTGGACCAACGCGCGCGCCTGGACCAACGCGCGCGCCTGGACCAACGCGCGCCCCTGGACCAACGCGCGCGCCTGTACCAACGCGCGCGCCTGGACCAACGCGCGCCCCTTGACCAACGCGCTCCCCTGGACCAACGCGCGCCCCTGGACCAACGCGCGCGCCGGACCAACGCGCGCGCCCGGACCAACGCGCGCGCCCGGACCAACGCGCGCCCGGACCAACGCGCGCGCCCGGACCAACGCGCGCGCCCGGACCAACGCGCGCGCCCGGACCAACGCGCGCGCCCGGACCAACGCGCGCGCCCGGACCAACGCGCGCCCCTGGACCAACGCGCGCGCCTGGACCAACGCGCGCCCCTGGACCAACGGGCGCGCCTGGACCAACGCGCGCGCCTGGACCAACGCGCGCCCCTGGACCAACGCGCGCGCCTGGACCAACGCGCGCGCCTCGACCCGCGCGCGCCCCTCGACCAACGCGCGCGCCCCGAGACCAACGCGCGCGCCCCGAGACCAACGCGCGCGCCCCGACCAACGCGCGCCCCTGGACCAACGCGCGCGCCCCGACCAACGCGCGCCCCTGGACCAACGCGCGCGCCTGGACCAACGCGCGCCCCTGGACCAACGCGCGCCCCTGGACCAACGCGCGCGCCTGGACCAACGCGCGCGCCTGGACCAACGCGCGCGCCTGGACCAACGCGCGCGCCTGGACCAACGCGCGCCCCTGGACCAACGCGCGCCCCTGGACCAACGCGCGCCCCTGGACCAACGCGCGCCCCTGGACCAACGCGCGCGCCTGGACCAACGCGCGCCCCTGGACCAACGCGCGCGCCTGGACCAACGCGCGCGCCTGGACCAACGCGCGCGCCTGGACCAACGCGCGCGCCTGGACCAACGCGCGCGCCTAGACCAACGCGCGCGCCTGGACCAACGCGCGCCCCTGGACCAACGCGCGCCCCTGGACCAACGCGCGCGCCTGGACCAACGCGCGCGCCTGGACCAACGCGCGCCCCTGGACCAACGCGCGCGCCTGGACCAACGCGCGCGCCTGGACCAACGCGCGCCCCTGGACCAACGCGCGCCCCTGGACCAACGCGCGCCCCTGGACCAACGCGCGCCCCTGGACCAACGCGCGCGCCTGGACCAAAGCGCGCCCCTGGACCAACGCGCGCGCCTGGACCAACGCGCGCGCCTGGACCAACGCGCGCGCCTGGACCAACGCGCGCCCCTGGACCAACGCGCGCGCCTGTACCAACGCGCGCGCCTGGACCAACGCGCGCCCCTTGACCAACGCGCTCCCCTGGACCAACGCGCGCCCCTGGACCAACGCGCGCGCCGGACCAACGCGCGCGCCCGGACCAACGCGCGCGCCCGGACCAACGCGCGCCCGGACCAACGCGCGCGCCCGGACCAACGCGCGCGCCCGGACCAACGCGCGCGCCCGGACCAACGCGCGCGCCCGGACCAACGCGCGCGCCCGGACCAACGCGCGCCCCTGGACCAACGCGCGCGCCTGGACCAACGCGCGCCCCTGGACCAACGGGCGCGCCTGGACCAACGCGCGCGCCTGGACCAACGCGCGCCCCTGGACCAACGCGCGCGCCTGGACCAACGCGCGCGCCTCGACCCGCGCGCGCCCCTCGACCAACGCGCGCGCCCCGAGACCAACGCGTGCGCCCCGAGACCAACGCGCGCGCCCCGACCAACGCGCGCCCCTGGACCAACGCGCGCGCCCCGACCAACGCGCGCCCCTGGACCAACGCGCGCGCCTGGACCAACGCGCGCCCCTGGACCAACGCGCGCCCCTGGACCAACGCGCGCGCCTGGACCAACGCGCGCGCCTGGACCAACGCGCGCGCCTGGACCAACGCGCGCGCCTGGACCAACGCGCGCGCCTGGACCAACGCGCGCGCCTGGACCAACGCGCGCGCCTGGACCAACGCGCGCCCCTGGACCAACGCGCGCCCCTGGACCAACGCGCGCCCCTGGACCAACGCGCGCCCCTGGACGAACGCGCGCCCCTGGACGAACGCGCGCCCCTGGACGAACGCGCGCGCCTGGACGAACGCGCGCGCCTGGACGAACGCGCGCGCCTGGACGAACGCGCGCGCCTGGACCAACGCGCGCGCCTGGACCAACGCGCGCGCCTGGACCAACGCGCGCGCCTGGACCAACGCGCGCCCCTGGACCAACGCGCGCCCCTGGACCAACGCGCGCGCCTGGACCAACGCGCGCGCCTGGACCAACGCGCGCCCCTGGACCAACGCGCGCGCCTGGACCAACGCGCGCGCCTGGACCAACGCGCGCCCCTGGACCAACGCGCGCCCCTGGACCAACGCGCGCCCCTGGACCAACGCGCGCCCCTGGACCAACGCGCGCGCCTGGACCAACGCGCGCGCCTGGACCAACGCGCGCGCCTGGACCAACGCGCGCGCCTGGACCAACGCGCGCCCCTGGACCAACGCGCGCCCCTGGACCAACGCGCGCCCCTGGACCAACGCGCGCGCCTGGACCAACGCGCGCCCCTGGACCAACGCCTGGACCAACGCGCGCGCCTGGACCAACGCGCGCGCCTGGACCAACGCGCGCGCCTGGACCAACGCGCGCGCCTGGACCAACGCGCGCGCCTGGACCAACGCGCGCGCCTGTACCAACGCGCGCCCCTGGACCAACGCGAGCCCCTGGACCAACGCGCGCGCCTGGACCAATGCGCGCGCCTGGACCAACGCGCGCCCCTGGACCAACGCGCGCCCGGACCAAAGCGCGCGCCCGGACCAACGCGCGCGCCCGGACCAACGCGCGCGCCCGGACCAACGCGCCCAACGCGCGCCCGGACCAACGCGCGCGCCCGGACCAACGCGCGCGCCCGGACCAACGCGCGCGCCCGGACCAACGCGCGCGCCCGGACCAACGCGCGCCCGGGCCAACGCGCGCGCCCGGACCAACGCGCGCGCCCGGACCAACGCGCGCGCCCGGACCAACGCGCGCGCCCGGACCAACGCGCGCGCCCGGACCAACGCGCGCGCCCGGACCAACGCGCGCGCCCGGACCAACGCGCGCGCCCAGACCAACGCGCGCCCCTGGACCAACGCGCGCGCCTGGATTAACGCGCGCGCCTTGACCAACGGGCGCGCCTGGACCAACGCGCGCGCCTGGACCAACGCGCGCCCCTGGACCAACGCGCGCGCCCCGACCAACGCGCGCGCCTGGACCAACGCGCGCCCCTGGACCAACGCGCGCGCCCCGACCAACGCGCGCGCCTGGACCAACGCGCGCCCCTGGACCAACGCGCGCGCCTGGACCAACGCGCGCGCCTGGACCAACGCGCGCGCCTGGACCAACGCCCGCGCCTGGACCAACGCGCACGCCTGGACCAACGCGCGCCCCTTGACCAACGCGCGCCCCTGGACCAACGCGCGCCCCTGGACCAACGCGCGCCCCTGGACCAACGCGCGCGCCTGGACCGACGCGCGCGCCTGGACCGACGCGCGCGCCTGGACCGACGCGCGCGCCTGGACCGACGCGCGCGCCTGGACCGACGCGCGCGCCTGGACCGACGCGCGCCCCTCGACCGACGCGCGCCCCTCGACCGACGCGCGCCGCTGGACCGACGCGCGCCCCTGGACCGACGCGCGCCCTTGGACCGACGCGCTCCCCTGGACCGACGCGCGCCCCTGGACCGACGCGCGCGCCTGGACCGACGCGCGCCCCTGGACCAACAGGCGCCCCTGGACCAACGCGCGCCCCTGGACCAACGCGCGCGCCTGGACCAACGCGCGCGCCTGGACCAACGCGCGCGCCTGGACCAACGCGCGCGCCTGGACCAACGCGCGCCCCTGGACCAACGCGCGCGCCTGGACCAACGCGCGCCCCTGGACCAACGCGCGCGCCTGGACCAACGCGCGCCCCTGGACCAACGCGCGCCCCTGGACCAACGCGCGCGCCTGGACCAACGCGCGCGCCTGGACCAACGCGCGCGCCTGGACCAACGCGCGCGCCTGGACCAACGCGCGCGCCTGGACCAACGCGCGCGCCTGGACCAACGCGCGCGCCTGGACCAACGCGCGCCTGGACAACGCGCGCGCCTGTACCAACGCGCGCGCCTGGACCAACGCGCGCGCCTGGACCAACGCGCGCGCCTGGACCAACGCGCGCGCCTGTACCAACGCGCGCCCCTGGACCAACGCGAGCCCCTGGACCAACGCGCGCGCCTGGACCAACGCGCGCGCCTGGACCAACGCGCGCCCCTGGACCAACGCGCGCCCGGACCAGCGCGCGCCCGGACCAACGCGCGCGCCCGGACCAACGCGCGCGCCCGGACCAACGCGCGCGCCCGGACCAACGCGCGCGCCCGGACCAGCGCGCGCCCGGACCAACGCGCGCGCCCGGACCAACGCGCGCGCCCGGACCAACGCGCGCGCCCGGACCAACGCGCGCGCCCGGACCAACGCGCGCGCCCGGACCAACGCGCACGCCTGGACCAACGCGCGCCCCCAGACCAACGCGCGCGCCTGGATTAACGCGCGCGCCTTGACCAACGGGCGCGCCTGGACCAACGCGCGCGCCTGGACCAACGCGCGCCCCTCGACCAACGCGCGCGCCTGGACCAACGCGCGCGCCTGGACCAACGCGCGCGCCTGGACCAACGCGCGCCCCTCGACCAACGCGCGCGCCCCTCGACCAACGCGCGCGCCCCGACCAACGCGCGCCCCTGGACCAACGCGCGCGCCTGGACCAACGCGCGCGCCTGGACCAACGCGCGCCCCTGGACCAACGCGCGCGCCTGGACCAACGCGCGCGCCTGGACCAACGCGCGCGCCTGGACCAACGCGCGCGCCTGGACCAACGCGCGCGCCTGGACCAACGCGCGCGCCTGGACCAACAGGGCGCGCCCCTTGACCAACGCGCGCCCCTGGACCAACGCGCGCCCCTGGACCAACGCGCGCCCCTGGACCAACGCGCGCCCCTGGACCAACGCGCGCCCCTGGACCAACGCGCGCCCCTGGACCAACGCGCGCCCCTGGACCAACGCGCGCCCCTGGACCAACGCGCGCGCCTGGACCAACGCGCGCGCCTGGACCAACGCGCGCGCCTGGACCAACGCGCGCGCCTGGACCAACGCGCGCGCCTGGACCAACGCGCGCCCCTGGACCATCGCGCGCCCCTGGACCAACGCGCGCCCCTGGACCAACGCGCGCCCCTGGACCAACGCGCGCGCCTGGACCAACGCGCGCGCCTGGACCAACGCGCGCCCCTGGACCAACGCGCGCGCCTGGACCAACGCGCGCGCCTGGACCAACGCGCGCCCCTGGACCAACGCGCGCCCCTGGACCAACGCGCGCCCCTGGACCAACGCGCGCGCCTGGACCAACGCGCGCGCCTGGACCAACGCGCGCGCCTGGACCAACGCGCGCGCCTGGACCAACGCGCGCGCCTGGACCAACGCGCGCGCCTGGACCAACGCGCGCGCCTGGACCAACGCGCGCGCCTGGACCAACGCGCGCCCCTGGACCAACGCGCGCCCCTGGACCAACGCGCGCGCCTGGACAAACGCGCGCGCCTAGACCAACGCGCGCCCCTGGACCAACGCGCGCGCCTGGACCAACGCGCGCGCCTGGACCAACGCGCGCCCCTGGACCAACGCGCGCCCCTGGACCAACGCGCGCCCCTGGACCAACGCGCGCCCCTGGACCAACGCGCGCGCCTGGACCAACGCGCGCCCGTGGACCAACGCGCGCGCCTGGACCAACGCGCGCGCCTGGACCAACGCGCGCGCCTGGACCAACGCGCGCGCCTGGACCAACGCGCGCGCCTGGACCAACGCGCGCGCCTGTACCAACGCGCGCGCCTGGACCAACGCGAGCCCCTGGACCAACGCGCGCGCCTGGACCAACGCGCGCCCCTGGACCAACGCGCTCCCCTGGACCAACGCGCGCCCCTGGACCAACGCGCGCCCCTGGACCAACGCTCGCCCCTGGACCAACGCGCGCGCCGGACCAACGCGCGCGCCCGGACCAACGCGCGCCGGACCAACGCGCGCGCCCGGACCAACGCGCGCGCCCGGACCAACGCGCGCGCCCGGACCAACGCGCGCGCCCGGACCAACGCGCGCGCCCGGACCAACGCGCGCGCCCGGACCAACGCGCGCCCCTGGACCAACGCGCGCGCCTGGACCAACGCGCGCCCCTGGACCAACGGGCGCGCCTGGACCAACGCGCGCGCCTGGACCAACGCGCGCCCCTGGACCAACGCGCGCGCCTGGACCAACGCGCGCGCCTCGACCCCGCGCGCGCCCCTCGACCAACGCTGCGCGCCCCGAGACCAACGCGCGCGCCCCGAGACCAACGCGCGCCCCTGGACCAACGCGCGCGCCCCGACCAACGCGCGCCCCTGGACCAACGCGCGCGCCTGGACCAACGCGCGCCCCTGGACCAACGCGCGCCCCTGGACCAACGCGCGCACCTGGACCAACGCGCGCGCCTGGACCAACGCGCGCGCCTGGACCAACGCGCGCGCCTGGACCAACGCGCGCGCCTGGACCAACGCGCGCGCCTGGACCAACGCGCGCGCCTGGACCAACTCGCGCGCCTGGACCATCGCGCGCGCCTGGACCAACGCGCGCCCCTGGACCAACGCGCGCGCCTGGACCAACGCGCGCGCCTGGACCAACGCGCGCGCCTGGACCAACGCGCGCCCCTGGACCAACGCGCGCCCCTGGACCAACGCGCGCGCCTGGACCAACGCGCGCGCCTGGACCAACAGGGCGCGCCCCTTGACCAACGCGCGCCCCTGGACCAACGCGCGCGCCTGGACCAAAGCGCGCCCGTGGACCAACGCGCGCGCCCGGACCAACGCGCGCGCCCGGACCAACGCGCGCGCCTGGACCAACGCGCGCCCCTGGACCAACGGGCGCGCCTGGACCAACGCGCGCGCCTGGACCAACGCGCGCCCCTGGACCAACGCGCGCGCCTGGACCAACGCGCGCGCCTCGACCCGCGCGCGCCCCTCGACCAACGCGCGCGCCCCGAGACCAACGCGCGCGCCCCGAGACCAACGCGCGCCCCTGGACCAACGCGCGCGCCCCGACCAACGCGCGCCCCTGGACCAACGCGCGCGCCTGGACCAACGCGCGCCCCTGGACCAACGCGCGCCCCTGGACCAACGCGCGCGCCTGGACCAACGCGCGCGCCTGGACCAACGCGCGCGCCTGGACCAACGCGCGCGCCTGGACCAACGCGCGCGCCTGGACCAACGCGCGCGCCTGGACCAACGCGCGCGCCTGGACCAACGCGCGCGCCTGGACCAACGCGCGCGCCTGGACCATCGCGCGCGCCTGGACCAACGCGCGCCCCTGGACCAACGCGCGCGCCTGGACCAACGCGCGCGCCTGGACCAACGCGCGCGCCTGGACCAACGCGCGCCCCTGGACCAACGCGCGCCCCTGGACCAACGCGCGCGCCTGGACCAACGCGCGCGCCTGGACCAACAGGGCGCGCCCCTTGACCAACGCGCGCCCCTGGACCAACGCGCGCGCCTGGACCAAAGCGCGCCCGTGGACCAACGCGCGCGCCTGGACCAACGCGCGCGCCTGGACCAACGCGCGCGCCTGGACCAACGCGCGCGCCTGGACCAACGCGCGCGCCTGGACCAACGCGCGCGCCTGGACCAACGCGCGCGCCTGGACCAACGCGCGCGCCTGTACCAACGCGCGCGCCTGGACCAACGCGAGCCCCTGGACCAACGCGCGCGCCTGGACCAACGCGCGCCCCTGGACCAACGCGCTCCCCTGGACCAACGCGCGCCCCTGGACCAACGCGCGCCCCTGGACCAACGCTCGCGCCTGGACCAACGCGCGCGCCGGACCAACGCGCGCGCCCGGACCAACGCGCGCGCCCGGACCAACGCGCGCCCGGACCAACGCGCGCGCCCGGACCAACGCGCGCGCCTGGACCAACGCGCGCGCCCGGACCAACGCGCGCGCCCGGACCAACGCGCGCGCCCGGACCAACGCGCGCGCCCGGACCAACGCGCGCCCCTGGACCAACGCGCGCGCCTGGACCAACGCGCGCCCCTGGACCAACGGGCGCGCCTGGACCAACGCGCGCGCCTGGACCAACGCGCGCCCCTGGACCAACGCGCGCGCCTGGACCAACGCGCGCGCCTCGACCCGCGCGCGCCCCTCGACCAACGCGCGCGCCCCTCGACCAACGCGCGCGCCTGGACCAACGCGCGCCCCTGGACCAACGCGCGCGCCTGGACCAACGCGCGCGCCTGGACCAACGCGCGCCCCTGGACCAACGCGCGCCCCTGGACCAACGCGCGCGCCTGGACCAACGCGCGCGCCTGGACCAACGCGCGCGCCTGGACCAACGCGCGCGCCTGGACCAACGCGCGCGCCTGGACCAACGCGCGCGCCTGGACCAACGCGCGCGCCTGGACCATCGCGCGCGCCTGGACCAACGCGCGCCCCTGGACCAACGCGCGCGGCTGGACCAACGCGCGCGCCTGGACCAACGCGCGCGCCTGGACCAACGCGCGCCCCTGGACCAACGCGCGCCCCTGGACCAACGCGCGCGCCTGGACCAACGCGCGCGCCTGGACCAACAGGGCGCGCCCCTTGACCAACGCGCGCCCCTGGACCAACGCGCGCCCCTGGACCAACGCGCGCCCCTGGACCAACGCGCGCGCCTGGACCAACGCGCGCCCCTGGACCAACGCGCGCCCCTGGACCAACGCGCGCCCCTGGACCAACGCGCGCCCCTGGACCAACGCGCGCGCCTGGACCAACGCGCGCGCCTGGACCAACGCGCGCGCCTGGACCAACGCGCGCCCCTGGACCAACGCGCGCCCCTGGACCAACGCGCGCCCCTGGACCAACGGGCGCGCCTGGACCAACGCGCGCGCCTGGACCAACGCGCGCCCCTGGACCAACGCGCGCGCCTGGACCAACGCGCGCGCCTGGACCAACGCGCGCGCCTGGACCAACGCGCGCGCCTGGACCAACGCGCGCGCCTGGACCAACGCGCGCGCCTGGACCAACGCGCGCGCCTGGACCAACGCGCGCGCCTGGACCAACGCGCGCGCCTGGACGAACGCGCGCCCCTGGACCAACGCGCGCGCCTGGACCAACGCGCGCCCCTGGACGAACGCGCGCCCCTGGACGAACGCGCGCCCCTGGACGAACGCGCGCGCCTGGACGAACGCGCGCGCCTGGACGAACGCGCGCGCCTGGACGAACGCGCGCGCCTGGACCAACGCGCGCGCCTGGACCAACGCGCGCGCCAGGACCAACGCGCGCGCCTGGACCAACGCGCGCGCCTGGACCAACGCGCGCGCCTGGACCAACGCGCGCGCCTGGACCAACGCGCGCCCCTGGACCAACGCGCGCGCCTGGACCAACGCGCGCGCCTGGACCAACGCGCGCCCCTGGACCAACGCGCGCCCCTGGACCAACGCGCGCGCCTGGACCAACGCGCGCCCCTGGACCAACGCGCGCGCCTGGACCAACGCGCGCGCCTGGACCAACGCGCGCGCCTGGACCAACGCGCGCCCCTGGACCAACGCGCGCCCCTGGACCAACGCGCGCCCCTGGACCAACGCGCGCGCCTGGACCAACGCGCGCGCCTGGACCGACGCGCGCGCCTGGACCGACGCGCGCGCCTGGACCGACGCGCGCGCCTGGACCGACGCGCGCGCCTGGACCGACGCGCGCGCCTGGACCGACGCGCGCGCCTCGACCGACGCGCGCGCCTCGACCGACGCGCGCGCCTCGACCGACGCGCGCGCCTGGACCGACGCGCGCGCCTGGACCGACGCGCGCGCCTGGACCGACGCGAGCCCCTGGACCGACGCGAGCCCCTGGACCAACGCGCGCGCCTGGACCAACGCGCGCGCCTGGA